AGATGAAAAGTTAAATTTTCTTGCTCTATTCCTCTCATTAAAGGAATCACTTAAAACAGTTTTCTTAGTTCTTTCCAAGAAATAATTTTATGAGTATGCTATAGTAGATCTGTTTATATTTGTCTCTCTGTTTATATTGAAAGGATAATACCATACATACACATGCCTCTATACCGTGACTTTATTTATTTATTTATTAATTATTTTATTAAGATCACATTGGTTACACCATGCCTTTTTTACTTGACAACGTATCTTGCAGATGGCTCCATATCAGCATCTACAGATTGCCATTATTCCTTTTAATAGCTATACAACATTCTAGTGTATAGGTGAACCATAGTTCGTTTAATTAGGCCTCTTTTAACAGACGTTTTAGCTGCAGAAATTGCAAAGCTGTATTGATCATCCTTACAAGTGATTTGGCAGACTTTCGGGGAAACAGGTAATTTGACAGACTTTGGAGGATATCTGTAGGATAAGTTACTGGTAGTGGGACTGCTGGGTTGCAAGCATGTGCATTTTTGTAAATAGTGCCAAGTTGTCTCTAGAAAAGCTTTTCCAGTTTATGCTTCTACCAGCTGTATAGGCATGCTCTTTTCTCCTCATCCCTGCAAATGCTGGGTATCCTACCTTTAAACTTTTTGCCTATCTCAAAAATGAAAGAGTGTTACTTTGATTTGCATTTCCTTTAATTTAGGGTGAGGTCATGTGGATATAATATCACATGCTTCTTAGACCCTTGAATTACCACCCCCCGGTAATCTGCCAGTTCTTACGCTTTGCCCATTTTTAAGTGACTTGGTATGACTTTTTGTTCTCGGTTTGCATGCACTCTTTGTTAATAAAGGAAGTGAGCTCTTTGTCGTATGTGTTGCAGTTATTTTCTCCCAGTTTGTGAAAGTGCCCTTTAAACTGCATTACACAGTGTACATTTCAAGCTTTCATTATCATTGATATGGGGGCATTGACTACAAGTACTGTGTTTAAGGAAATAAACTAGGCCGTCTGTCTCCTGTGTAGCAGTGAGCTCCCATTGTAGGGAAATTTGAATGTAAAGGAGTAATTTGAAGTCCTGCCAAGGTGTTTAAAATGGAATCCTATGTAAATACAGATTGCGTCAGATTTTGTTCTCTTAATTTTCTTTGGTGTCCTTATTGAACATATTCCCTTTTCCTCTTATTCTGGAAGCTGGAGATTTGTGGAAGAAAAAGCTAAGGCCCTGAAGAATGGATAAGTTAAAAGCTGCAGAATCTCGCATCTTGAGAAAAATTTGTGTTTAAAACTAAATGTGAGAAGTAAAAATGTACTTCTTATGTAATCTTTTTTTTTTTGATTCCTTCTTCTGGCTTGAACTTTTTTTTTTCTTTGCTGAGAAAGATTCACCCTGAGTGAATATCTCTGCCAGTCCTCTTCTATTTTGTATGTGGGTCGCTGCCACAGCTTGGCTGCCGCCGAGTGGTGTAGGTCCACTCCTAGGAACTGAACCTGGGCCACTGAAGCGGAGTGTGCCGAATTTAACCACTAGGCCACAGGGCCAGCCCCTGTCTTGAAATTTTTTTAATTTTTAAATTTTCTATTCTTCTCCCCAAAGCTCCCCAGTATATAGTTGTATATTGTAGTTGTGAGTGCCTCTGGTTGTGCTATGTGGGATGCCACCTTAGCATGGGCTGATGAGTGGTGCCATGTCCGCGCCTGGCCTCTGAACTGGCGAAACCCCAGGCTGCCGAAGTGGAGTGTGTGAACTTAACCGCTTTGCCATGGGGCCGGCCCCTTGAAATCTTTTTTATTTGTTAGTAGATGTTGTCAAATTAAATTCAGACTTGCAGATGATTTTCCTGGTGTCCCTCCCCTTGGCCTTTGTTAGAGCTGGTTCATCTTGTCTCAGTATCTCTGTTTGTCTTCCTGGGTAGACTGGAGTGGGGGACTGACTTGGATTTCTTATTCCTAATTTCTGGTACAATGTTTTACTGATAGTACTCACTAGTGGTTTGTTGAATGAATTAATGTGAAATTTAAAACAAACTGCCACCCCAGAGGAGTGGAGGAAAGATTGAGGATGCGACATGAAAGCCAGATTAGTCTTTTTGTTTTTTTTGAGGAAGATTAGCCCTGAGCTAACATCTGCTGCCAATTCTCTTTTTGCTGAGGAAGAGTGGCCCTGAGCTAACATCCATGCCCATCTTCCTCCACTTTATATGTGGGAGGCCTGCCATAGCATGGCTTGCCAAGCGGTGCCATGTCCATACCTGGGATCCAAACCGGTGCACCCTGGGCCGCCGAAGTAGAATGTGTGAACTTAACTGCTGCACCATCCGGCCAGCCCCCAGATTAGTCTTTAGTCTTGTTCTGTGTGATACCGGAGAGTGAAACTTCAAACAAGTGGGTCAGAGTTAAAATAAAACAGATTTTAGTTTGTGTAAGGAAGACCTGACAATTCACCCTCAAGAGGAACTGGTTTTCTTGAGCCATTGGGAATAATTTGCTCATCTTCATTCATTCACTGCTTTGCTCCCACACTCATGTATTTTCATGGAAATCCTCCTAGGGTACCTCGGTGGGAGGTTGGGTGGTAAAAGAATTAATTCAGAAATCAAGCAGGGGCCTGCCCTGTGGCCAAGTGGTTAAGTATGCTCACTCCACTTCCTCGGGCCACGGTTTTGCCGGTTCGAATCCTGGGCACAGACATGGCACCTCTCATCAGGCCATGCTGAGGCGGCATCCCACATGCCACAACTAGAAGGACCCACAACTAAAAATATACAACTATGTACCAGGGGGCTTTGGGGAGAAAAAGGAAAAAGAAAATATTAAAAAAAAAAAGCCAGAAATCAAGCAGACCTGGGCTTTTGTTTTGGGGCCTGTCACTTAGCACTTGAACCTTAAGCTAAATTAGTTTAAGCCTAGCCTCCTCATTTGTGATAATAGAGTATTAATAGCCACTACCTATATAGTCCTTACTCTGTACCAATCCTGTGCTCCTCAAAGGGATTATCTCATTTCATCCTCATACCCTCTGCCTGGATAGGTACAGTCATGCACCGAATAATCACTTTTCAACTTTGAGATCAAGGGCAGATGACAGACCGCACATACAAAAGTGGTCCCATAAGATTAGTACCACAGAGCCTAGGTGTGTAGTTGGCTATACCATCTAGTTTTGGGTAAATACACTCTATGATGTTTATATGATGACGAAATCCTCTGAATGTGTCCCTGGCATTAAGGGTACATGACTGTACTATTATCACCATCCTCATTTTCTGAAGAGGAAACAAATTCAGAGAGGTTAAGTAATTTACCCAAATTCATTCAGCTAATCAGGGGTGGAGCTGAGGATTCAAGGCCAAACATTTAACCCCATTATGTTACTTTACGGGACCTGTATAAAAGAGCTGTCTCCCTGCAGAGGCTGACAAGTAACAGCTGCTGAGTGAGTGCTCAAGGCCGCTCTGCTTTTCTTCTTGTTTGGCGTCACCTTTTTATATAATCTGAGAGGCCAAACTGTTAATCTGAATGTTAACTAGTATGCATGATGTCAGAGATAAACAGATCCATAATTTGGCCCAGTATTTTAGGCAAGCCAAAATGAAGACTTTTCTACTGATTTGATATCTCATTTTCCTGGAGAGTGTTAGGTAAAGCCAGTCAAACCTCTGACCCTTTCCTAGGGTCCATATAGTTGGAGCAGTCCTGCTAACATAGCTTTTCAGTTAATAGGTTTCAGCTTCCATAATTGCTACTGTCAGCCATTCCTGCCTTAGTTTGATTTGCTGTGTGTTCCCCAGTATCAGCCCTTCGGAGTGGTTATTTAATGGATAGCTCATCCTTCACATTATATATTTTTTTCCTTATGGAAAATTTTTGTTGTGAAAAACTTTTATAAATTTAGGAAATTGTTTAAGAGGAAAGAACAATCACCCACAACCTGTTTTTTTCTTGATTTTTTTTTTTTTAAATGCACATGAGTTTTAATGCGAACTCGAAGTGGTGTAATTTTGCATTCTGCCTTTCCGTATAATATATTGCAAGCACATTCCTCCTAAGATGTAATGGTATTACATATCAGATATGAGGGATTTTTCTGCATTCATCCATTGCAAAGGTTGTGCTCCTGGTATGAGGCAGACGTTGCCCTGGCAGTGCTCTGGCATTACTTAGGCAGTGTAGGCTGTTGAGATCCAAAGTTTAGTGGGAGAGAATTTAGTCAGGGGTAGCCTGCTGTGTGGAGGTGGCCTGCTCAAGTGCCCCAAGAGGCTACATCTCCACCAGAACTACCACTAGCCCCTAAAGATAAATTTTACTAATATAGAAAATGACCACCAATCCCAATACCCAAAGGTTTAATAAAAGAATTTCTTGGGAAAATATGAATTGTCAGAATGGACTCAAGAAGAGGTGGAAAATAGAAATAGATCAAAGAGGATATAAATCTTTCTTGCCTAGCCTTCTAAAAGTAGGGCCAGAGATCAGTGTCATAGCTTTTGTTTGCTTCCTTTGTAGTGCTTAAATTCGTAGTAGTTACAGCTTGCAGTTACTTCACTTATTTGTTTACTGGCTACATTTTTGTCTTCCCTCAGTAGACTAGAGGCTTCATGAGGGCAGGAACTGTGTCTCTTTTGGTCTTGACTGTTTTCTGAAATAGCCTCTCAGCAGATATTTGTTGAATTCATTAGCAAATGATTGAATTTAACCCTGAGAGCAGTTGTTTTTTGGAGTTCTGAGGGGTGCCCCTTATAGATGAGTCCTTGGTAAGCGGTGTTGAAGGAGGGTCCCCTCACAGTTTCAGAGACTGCAGGATGCTGCATCATAGAGGAGGAGGAACCACTGGAGGGCACACCTGTGTTAGGATGAGGGCAGGAGTGAAAGAGGGCGCTGATAGGGTTTCCTGGGGCTTTGTGTTTTGAATAATGCCTGTTTGTCTTTTATGTGTAGTGAGTGATGCTACACTCTGGGCAGACTTTGCCTAAGTTTCATAAATATTTAATTGGCTTTTTCAGGAGAATAAAGGCAGCCCAATTGATGACTGAAAATGACAAAGCATCCACCTAACAGACGAGGAATCAGCTTTGAAGTGGGAGCCCAGTTGGAAGCCCGGGACCGATTAAAAAACTGGTACTTTTACATTTTTCTGTTAATTAAATTCCTTCAGTAAAGGACTTTTGACAGAACTGATAACGAGGGGTAGCCTGGGCTTTTCTGTAACGTTTTCCTGCTCCCTGACTCTTGGAAGGTGGAAGGAGACAAGTCTAGAGCCATGGGAATATCCTTTCTCTTTGGTGCAGGGATCCCTGTGTCAAGGGGGCCATCCTGTGGCCCCCTGTTCTTGTTCATTTTCTCTTTCTGCCTGTTCATCTGAAGGAGTTATGGGAAGAAGCAGCGTACGTGGCTGCAGGGAAGGGAGGAGTTAATAGTGGCAGCTCTTGCTCTTTGCTGCCTCTCTGGAAGAAGAGAGGAGAGAAACATCAGGGATGGAAGAATGAAGAAAAGGAGTTAGATTGGAACAGCTCGTGTTGTGAACAGTCCCTCCTGTTTTCTGGGTGTGTTGTTGTGTGGTTGAAATTTAGTCATCATTAGATTCGGAAGCTGAAGGGTTGTAGTCCCAACTTAGTCATTGACTTGTGACCTCTGGCTGTTAATTAGCTGCTTTAAGCATCGGCTTCACCTATAAATGTGGATAGCTAGTAATATTGACCTCAGAGTTTTTCTGAGAATCAAATAATAGAATATGCCAGAAAAGACCTTATAAACCATAAAATAGAGTTCGTTTTTGAGGACATCCCAGAATTTGGTCATTTGTTAATGCTCAAGGTGAAGGTAGGAGTTTCAGAACTCAAATCTTTCTGAATTTTACAAGGAAGAGTGTAGCCCTTTTGGTAGGTTATCTCAAAATAGACAGGCTGACCAGTTCCTAGGGTATAGGAAGAGAAGACAGGGCAAGAGAAGCAGGGAAGTGGCTGAGGCAGAAAATATCTCTGTTGCCTTTTGGCGCTGCAAGGTTTGATGTTAGAATTAGCTTTGAACACCTAGTTGTTTTTAGGCTGTTTGTGTTATCTATAATTATTTCCTTGTTTGGTTTTTCAGTATTTTTTCAGGTAGCTTAGTCAAGGGTAGGAATTCTTTTTAGATTTGGAAAAAAAATAAAATGCAGAAAAAGTGAAAAAGTGCAGCTAACCGTAAAATAATAGGTGTACTTATCACTCAGAATTAATAAATATTAACATGTTGGTTTTATTTATATTTTAAAAGTAAAAGACATAAAACATTTCTGATATAATGAAAGTACCTTTTATACCCTTCCCAATTCAGTTCCCCTCCCTCTTCCGTAGAGGCTGCCAGCATCCTGAAATTGGTTGTATCCTTTCTGTCCATGTTTTTACATTCTTACTATGTATATGTATCCATAAATAATAGAATCATTTTGGGTGTTTTAAAAAAACTCATAGGAGTGGTATCATATTGCTCATTTCTGCGTCTCATGTTTTTGTGATTTACCCATATTGATATATAAGATATTCATCCTAACTTCTGTCTAGAGTTCCATTGTATGAACATACCATATTTTGTTTATCCAGTCTCCTACTGATGGACATTTGGATTCCAGTTTTTCACTTTATGCACAGTGCTACTGTAAACATCTCTGTAAATGCCTCTTCCTGCACATGTGTGAGATAGTTTTTGGGCAGTGGCTTTCAAACTTTTTTGACCACAGCTTATCTATATCCAGTGTGGTACTGCCCAAATACACATGTGAATTTAACTGAAGCAAAAATTTTATGGAATACTTCTTAACCTGAATACATGCATTGTGCTCTGATGTTTTTCTTCTGTATTGTGTGTATGTTTCCTTAATATACAAAAATGTTGGTCAAGAAGTGTTAATTTGATTTGATAATCTACTAATGGATCACGAACTGTAGTTTGCTAAGCCTTACTCCAGTGAATTTGTTAAGTAATCTGATATACACGTTTTCAGTTTTACTAGAAATTGCCATTTGCTCTCCAAAATGGTTCTACTAAATTACCCTCTGACCAGTACTACATAAAACTTCCTTTTTCCACATCGTTACCAACCTGTGCCTTTGACAGACTTCCTGGTTTTGCCAGTCTGTTGGTTATGAAATGTTATTGTTTTATTCTGTTTTTCTTATTTCTACTGAGGTTGAGCATCTTTTAATATGTGTGTTTTGTGACTTGCTCTTGACTATTTTCCTTTTGGATTGTTTGTCTTTTCTTAGTGATTTATAAATGTTTTAATAATTTATTACGGATTCCAATTCTTTGTCAATTTGTGTTGCAGAAATTGTCTACTAGTCTGTAGCTTGTCTTTTTAACTTGTTTCTTTTTTTTTTTTCTGAAGTGTAGTTGACATACAATATTATGTTTGTCACCTTGTTTATGGTGTCTCTCATGGCATGTAAGTTTAAAATTTTAAATTTAAGCAAAATGATCAAACTTTACAATTTTTGCTTTTTGTGACTGGTATTTGAAATTCTTCCCTATCAGTTAGTTTAAAAAATATTCTCTTAAGTTCTTCTAGAAGTTTTAAAGTTTCGTTTTTCACATTTAGGTCTTTAATCTACCTATGAGATGCACTTGGTATCTAATTACTGGTTTTATTCACCATGTGAATAACCAGTTGCCAGAAACTTCCTTTCCCCATTGATCTACAATACCACTTCTATGTATCAAGTCCCGTAAACTGGGTCTGTTCTGAGCTCTTTATTCTGTTCCATTAATTTATGTTTACTCTTGTGCTAATAACACATTATCTAATTGATGTTGCTTTAAAATGTCTTAATATCTTTTAAGACAGCTTTCACCCTTTTGTGTTTTATTTTATTTGTTGTATTCTTAGATGTTTACTCTTTAATGTGAATTTTTATATCTGTCGGGTTTCTTGAAAAATGCTGTTAGAGTTTTGAGATAAATCGTATTGAATTTGTAATTACTTTGGGGGGAATTGACATCTATTTTCTTTTTTTTTTTAAGGTTTTATTTTTCCTTTTTCTCCCCAAAGGCTCCCCTGTACATAGTTGTATATTTTTAGTTGTGGGTCCTTCTAGTTGTGGCATGCGGGATGCCTGCCGCAGCATGGCTTGATAAGCAGTGCCGTGTCTGCGCCCAGGATTCAAACTGGTGAAACCCTGGGCTGCTGAAGCGGAGCGTGGAAGCTTAACCACTCGGCCACAGGGCTGGCCCCTGACATCTTTTTTTTTTTTATTTATTAAGATTATGATAGATTACAGCCTTGTGAGATTTCAGTTGTACATTATTGTTAGTAATGTTTTGGGTATACCACTTCACCCTTTGTGCCCTCCCCCCACCCCCCCTTTTCCCTGGTAACCACTGATCGATTCTCCTTGTCTATATGTTAACTTCCACCTATAAGCAGAGTCATATAGAGTTCGTCTTTCTCTGTCTGGCTTGTTTTGCTTAACATAATACCCTCAAGGTCCATCCATGTTGTTGCGAATGGGACGATTTTGTCCTTTTTTATGGCTGAGTAGTATTCCATTGTGTATATATACCATATCTTCTTTATCCAGTCATCAGTTTCTGGGCATTTAGGTTGGTTCCATGTCTTGGCTATTGTAAATAATGCTGCGATGAACATAGGGGTGCATGGGACTCTTGGGATTGCTGATTTCAGGTTCTTAGGATAGATACCCAGTGGTGGGATGGCTGGGTCATAGGGTATTTCTATTTTTAACTTTTTGAGAAATCTCCATACTGTTTTCCATAGTGGCTACACTAGTTTGCATTCCCACCAACAGTGTATGAGGGTTCCTTTTTCTCTACAACCTCTCCAACATTTGTCACTCTTGGTTTTGGATATTTTTGCCAATCTAATGGGTGTAAGGTGATATCTTAGTGTAGTTTTGATTTGCATTTCCCTGATGGTTAGTGATGATGAGCATCTTGTCATGTGTCGTCTATTGGCCATCCTTATATCTTCTTTGGAGAAGTGTCTCTTCATGTCCTCTGCCCATTTTTTGATCGGGTTGTTTGTTTTTTTGTTGTTAAGCTGTGTGAGTTCTTTGTATATTATGGAGATTAATCCTTTGTCGGATAAGTAGCTTGTAAATATTTTTTCCCAGTTAGTGGGCTTTTTGTTTCAATCCTGTTTTCCCTGGCATTGAAGAAACTCTTCAGTCTGATGAAGTCCCATTTGTTTATTCTTTCTATCGTTTCCCTCATCTGAGGAGTTATAGTGTCGAAAAGATTCTTTTGAAACTGATGTCAAAGAGTGTACTGCCTATATTCTCTTCTAGAAGACTTATTGTTTCAGGCCTAATCTTTAGGTCTTTGATCCATTTTGAGTTTATTTTTGTGAATGGTGAAAAAGAATGGTTGATTTTCATTCTTTTACATGTGGCTGTCCAGTTTTCCCAGCGCCATTTGTTGAAGAGACTTTCTTTTCTCCATTGTATGCCCTCAGCTCCTTTGTGGAAGATTAGCTGTCCATAGATGTGTGGTTTTATCTCTGGGCTTTCAATTCTGTTCCATTGATCTGTGCACCTGTTTTTGTACCAGTACCATGCTGTTTTGATTACTGTAGCTTTGTTGTATGTTTTGAAGTCGGGGATTGTGATGCCTCCGGCTTTGCTCTTCTTTCTCAGGATTGCTTTAGCAGTTCATGGTCTTTTGCTGCCCCATATGAATTTTCGGATTCTTTGTTCAATTTCTGTAAAGAATGTCCTTGGGATTCTGATTGGGATGGCGTTGAATCTGTAGATTGCTTTAGGTAGTATGGACATTTTAACTATGTTTATTCTTCCAATCCATGTGCATGGAACGTCTTTCCATCTCTTTATGTCGTCGTCAGTTTCTTTCAAGAAAGTCTTGTAGTTTTCATTGTATAAATCTTTCACTTCCTTGGTTAAATTTATCCCAAGGTATTTTATTCTTTTCGTTGCGATTGTGAATGGGATTGAGTTCTTGAGTTCTTTTTCTGCTGGTTCATTGTTAGTGTATAGAAATGCTACTGATTTATGTGTGTTGATTTTATACCCTGCAACTTTGCTGTAGCTGTTGATTGTTTCTAATAGTTTTCCTATGGATTCTTTGGGGTTTTCTATATATATAAGATCATGTCATCTGCAAACAGTGAG